GAGCCCTGGCCCAGGCTGCCCAGGGAGGCTGTGGAGTCTCCTTCTCTGGAGATATTCCAGCCCCGCCTGGCCGCGGTGCTGTGCCCCCTGCTCTGGGTGACCCTGCTTGGGCAGGGGGTTGGGCTGGGGGATCCCCAGGGGTCCCTGCCAACCCCCACAATTCTGTGATTCCATGACTACTGGGGAATATGCAAAACTGCACTAGGACAGCACATTGTGCAGGCCAGATGTTCCCCTCGGTGCTTTTGGCCTTCGACATAAACGTCTGACTTGAGTTATAGAATCATAGAATCATAGAAAGTTTTGGGTTGGAAGGGACCCCTAGAGATCATCTAGTCCAACCCCCCAGTTACCAGTAACGCAGTTACCAAGCGTGCAGCCTCCATCTTGTCATTTTTAGCAGTGAAAGTCACCAGAGATACGAAAACAGAAAAGCTCTTTCCCACGGCTGCCTCGCTCACCTGAAACTCTCCCGAGAGGACTCTGCGCGTGTAGATGTTACTGGTGTAGGGCTCAATGGATTCGTTATTGCCCAGGATCTGAGCAGTAGAAGCAGTTGGCATTGGAGAGAGGAGAAGGCTGTTTCTGACACCGTATCTGGTAACAGCAGTCGAGAGTTAGCAAGCTCCAACCAGGTGAGACAAGACAGAAAAGACCCAAGAACAGCACAGTTTTAATACCGTCTGCAAAGAGCTAAGAGGGCCAGCATAAGGAACTCTCAGCTTGTCAGGGTAACCTGCAAACCCTCAGATTACCTGCAGTAAAAAAATCCTAGGAACCTCCACTAAACTTGTAACATGGCTCAACATGGAAGCGTAACTAAAGCCTTTGCTATTTTCATCTTTAATCAGAGGCTTTCCCAAATTATTTAGTCGTGAGAAAGCGAGCACAGGAAAAAAAAAAAAAAATCTGTCAGGCACTCGTCAGCTCGACAGCCCTCAGGCAAAACCAAACCGAGCAGCCCACGAGGAGCCTGAGACCTCTCCTACACGAGACAGTAAACAGAGTTACTGAATTTAAAAGCCAGACCCACACAAACTGAAAAAGCGACGGGCGCTTCACGCTTGCGTGGCTCCTCTCTTGAGGACGCCCAAGGCTCAGCTGCGTTTCCCTGCCGGTGCGGGAGGAGTTCCCAAGCCCAGCTGACTGCCTCGCTCGTCACTCTGCTCGTTTAATTGGAACACAAACCGTTCCGCTGCTGCATCCACGATGAAATGAGAGCTCAGAGTCCAGAGGGTGGGCTCTCTCTGGCTTGTAAGAACAAAAGAGAAAGCAAGCCATCCACAAAACAGTTTTGAAGAAAGATCTGCTGCGGCGCCTGGACAAGGCCCTGTGCAGCCTGCTGTAGGTGACCCTGCTTCGGCAGGGGGTTGGACTGGGTGACCCACAGAGGTCCCTTCCAACCCCTACCATTCTGTGATTCTGTGGGGGAAACGCATAAGGACCATTTTTACCCTTGCCCCGACCTTTTGCTTTCAGTCAGTCAGAACGTATCGCTCGTGTTTCACATCTAACACAAACTGTGCAAGACTACTCACGTAGCAATCTTCTCCTTTAAAGCCTTCCAGTCCCAAAGGTCAGACGGGGTGACATTCCACATGTCATACTGCAGAATCTGAAGAACACAGGTGTAGACTAAATTAGTCTAATTTTTCTCCACCTTTCATAAATCTCATTGTAAATTGACCTGCTATTCCTGTTAACTATTCTCTACAGTTCTGCCTCAGTGAAGCTCCTGTACCATAATCTTACACTCAACCTTTAACTGCACTAAAGGGGACGGCCAGCACAGGCTGAGTGCTGCTTTTCTCTTCTTGCTCTCCACACCTCAGCTTAACTTCTGCATTTCCTCTGCACTTCAGAAGCCAAATGATGGAGGAAAACTGAAGCACCACTTGCACTGCTGCGATATTATCAGCCGACGGTGTTCCAGTCCCACATCTCCTTCTGTACTGAGGAGCAGGCACAGCCACGTTACCTCCTTTCCAGAGCTTTGGCCCTGACACAGCACAGGTCCTGGTACTTACTCCTTTGCTGACAGGAGAACCCTCGTACGTTTCATAAGGTCCTTGCTCCTTGGCAAGTTCACAGCTGGCTTCCAAAGCACCATAGTAAATGGTCTCAAAAATCTGCTGGTTCAAGCGCTGGGCCTCGGGACTTTCGAAGGGGCACCTCATCAAGATGAAGGCGTCTGCCAGACCCTGCACACCGATGCCAATGGGACGATGGCGTCTGTTGGAGCGTTCAGCCTGCAGGACAGCAAAGAGAGGGACTACCTTTAGCAGAACTACACAGAATCACAGAATAAATAAGGTTGCTGATGACACCAAACTGGGAGGTGTGGTAGATACACCAGCAGGCTGTGCTGCCATTCAGCGTGACCTGGACAGGCTGGAGAGCTGGGCAGAGAGGAACCTGATGAGGTTCAACAAAGCCAAATGCAGGGTCCTGCCCCTGGGGAGGAACAACCCCGTGCATCAGTACAGGCTTGGGGTGGACCTGCTGGAGAGCAGCTCTGCGGAGAGGGACCTGGGTGTCCTGGTGGACGACAGGGTGACCATGAGCCAGCAGCGTGCCCTGGGTGCCAAGAAAGCCAATGGGATCCTGGGGTGCATCAAGAAGAGTGTGGGCAGCAGGGCGAGGGAGGTTCTCCTTCCCCTCTACACTGCCCTGGGGAGGCCCCATCTGGAGTCCTGTGTCCAGTTCTGGGCTCCCCAGTTCAAGAAAGATGAAGA